AGGTTCTGAATCTCCCATCTCACTGGGGCTCCTTTTCAATTAAAAAGGAATTGTTTCTTTCTATCAAAATTATATATATTCAGAGACTAAGTGTAGTCTACCCTCACTCCAGCAGTGAGTGGACCCAAGCTCGAGCCCACCCTGTTACATCATGACCCCAAGCTTGGCCTCTGGCTTGGCCTCCTGTGAGAGGGGAGATTGAGGCTGATCACCTTCCTGAGTCGGAACTCTCACAGTCACAAGGATACTGGTCTCACTTTTATGGTTTACATTTATTCCTAAGGTGTTTTAATGGAAGAATAGTGCTTCCATATTGACAGATATATATGCCACACTGTGGGAAGACTGCCTCTTGACACACATAGTGTGAGACAAACTGTTGGAGGTTTCACAGAGAACCTGTTGGATGTTTTAAAGAACAGCTGTTTTCTTTCCGTTGTACGCATGTAGTCAGGATTTTGCTTACAGACAGAACTTATCAAAAGTGAGACAGTTTAGTGTCTTTAGTGAATGCATTGAAACTGCTTTGTGAGACACAAGTAAGCTAATTTATGCAGAGACAAGTGAATCCGTTTGACCAGTGTCATGTTAACCAGCTTCACCACGGACAAGTGAACCAGTTTCTCCAGAGAGAAGTTTCTTCTATGGCAAGTGAACCACTATTTTCTTTATGGTGCATATTCTGGTTAGCTGAGACAGTTGAACGTGATCGGATTAGAACCTTGATTACTTCTTCAAATACTATCTTGGTCATACAACATTGGAATTATCAACATTCTAAGCATATGTAAATTGCATGCCAAAGCTCCACATTCTATAAGAAACTGTCCATCAACAAAATAAACATTTGAGGTATATTTGTCTACAAGCATCAGCAACATGACATCTATTGAAGCCCAGCTGTTGGAGGACTGTTTTGAAATAGTTAGCACTGATAAACCAGAAGATAAATCTCAGGAACCTGAAGATGCTGACCTGGTTCTAAGTGAATATGATGCATATTGGCATTCCCAAGCTTGGGTTAATCAAGGACCAGGAATGGCGCCAACCAAGTTCCACCAGTCTGCCTTTTCAGCTGGCACCGGACTTGGTGAAAAACAGACAGTGTGTTCAGAACAGATGGAGTCTACCATTATGCAAATTGGGTCTTTGAGAGTGTCGGAACCGCCCAAATTTGGAGATATATTAACCAAACGTAAGATGGAGAGTGCTGTTATGCAGATCAAGTCATTAAAGATTTCAGAGAAGCCGGAGTATAATGTTACATGGCATCAGTATCGTTCCACCAGTGGGCATCAGTTGCCAAAGTAACAGAGACAAAAAACAACAGCTTGTAATGAGGAAAACTGTGATTGTAAAACTGCTGTGAGATGGCTTCTTTCATCTTGTATATGATGGCAGGAAATCTGATGAGTGTGGCAACATCAGTAAAAATGTTTAACATCAACAACGGCATGCAACATCATCAACAAGTGTCTGACAACATGCAACAGCATCAAATAACATCAGAGTCTGACAACATCAACAAAAGTGTCTGACATCAGCAATGGCATACGTCATCAACAAGTGTCTGACAACACCCTGCATGTATATCCACACAAAAAGCCACCTTCAGTATATGCAGACAATATAGAGGTCATTCCCTTTGGTGGGAGAGACAGGGTCAATGAATAAAGGCCCAAAGACTGCAAACCAAAACCATTAATTTTTAATTGAATATTTGTTTGAAATGCTTTACATAAATGCTTTTAATAAAACATATATCATAAACTCTGTTTGTTTAAAAATGAAGAATAGTTAAACTAAGAACATGGTCATATATGGTGACAAATATTGAAGGTTGATGCATCTTAAATGTTCAAATATCTGTGTAAGTGTGACTATTTGTTACAATTCTAATTTCAAACATGCTCAAAACATGTCAGACCGCCTCCGTGGTGTAGTGGTTAGAGCGTCCGCCCGGAGAGCGGAAGGTGGCGGGTTTGATCCCCGACCGCGTCATACCAAAAGATGTTAAAATATGGTACTTGTTGGTCCCTGCCTGGCACTCGGCATTAATGGGTACAACAAGGACTGGTCGGCTCGGAGTCAGTATAATGTGTCTGAGTGGGATATTCATACTTCACTGCGGCATGGTATCTCAGTGGGCTAGCACTATAAAACCAGCTTCAGTCTGGGTTAGTACAAGCAGCCGCACATACACATACACACACATGCACGTCGTCATATGAGCGAAATATTCTCAAGCACGACGTTAAACCCAATTTCACCTCACCTCACCTCACCTCACCTCACCTCACATCACCTCACCTCACATCACATCACATCACCTCACATCACATCACATGTCATATGAATGCTTCTCACATATATATACCCCTGAATGCCTCTCTACGAACCTGGTCCAAGTATTAACCAAGACTGATCTTGGTGTGGACAGGAGATTTTACAGCTCTTCTTCCACTACAGTGCTGCTAGATCAGCGGAAGACGTGAGTGGTCTTCAGGTTACAAATACCCCTTATCCTATGCCATTCAGTTATTGTAATGTTTTCTCCATGACTCTTTTTGGGGTCATGGATCAGAAAAGTCTGTACACACTTCTACAGCTCAAGTTGGTTACATATCAGACCTACCAACCTAAACCTTAATGGGTGGTGAAGGAGCCTAATGGTTAAAGCACTTACACATCACACAAAAGGGTTTGATTCACGACATGGGTACTATGTCTGATGTCCATTTCTGCTGTTCTCTGCCTTGATATTACTGGAACATTGATAAAACTGGCATAGAACCATCCTCACTGACTTCCTTAATCAACAAGTGTAGAAGTGAGCACAGCTCACATACCCCCGCTTCCCACGTTGGGACATGGAAATGACTGATATTGATATATATAATGTGACAAGGATTAGCAGCTCACAAGACTTTCTCCTTGACTCTACTAAACTTTATATACATGTTAGATAATAGTTTTGCCATGTACTGATTACAGTAATAATTTATGGAAACATTATTTTATTTTTTTTTCCCGTGGAAACCTGACATACAATTGAACTTGTTGCACACAATGAAGTGGACGTAGATGAAGATTGTTATTTTTTAGCACATGGCATATCTGTGGGTCATGATTAACTTGTGTATTAAGTTTGGTGAACCTAGCATGTATAGTTTCGATGATATGCTGTGGCCAGGTAACCATCAAACACATTTTGCACCAAGTCATGTTTCCATGGAAACAACAACAAAACAAATTCTGAAAAAACTTTAAAATAGCAAAAGGCACATCAGTGGGTAATGATTAACATGTGTGTGAAGTTTGGTGAACCTAGCATGTAAACTTTAAGAGATATGCTCCGGACAAAGTTTCGGGACGGACGGACGGACAGAATGAACGCTATATACCCCCGTTACTTCATAGCGGAGGTATAATTACCCCCAAATACGCACATGTTGTCAACATGAAACTTCAACTAGGGATTTCAGTTTAAAAAAACGAAAACATAGTGACCTATATAAACACTGATATTTAGACTGTGATTGTCCTAGATTTTGTATTGCAATACATTGCTTCACTTTAACCTATCTTGCAATATGTATGGCAAAGTATTGCCATACTACACTTTGATGAGTTTTTCTGAGTTATGCCTTAATAACAATCACCAGCAGTCAACAATCTCGAAATTATCTGCTCATTAGTTGCTCTTAATCAAGGGAGATAGTATATATGTCACATTGTAGTGAAACCTACATTCTAATTTATTAATAAGACCATCAGTGGCATGCTGTGCCAGACAGATACAATTTTCCATCTCCATATCTATTATGGACCACTTAAATATGACCAAATATACATATTTATATTTGCTCCAATGTACTGCTATATTTACAAACATATCACAATGCATGCTAATGACAAAGATCATATACCGATATATGATATATGGTCACTGTCAATGAATTGCAACACAAATTATCGCCATAACAGTTACACCACACCACTTTCTGAAATCAAACAATAATGAATTATAGGACCCACAGCTGCAGTTTAGGGCCTCTATAATACCATGGCACTTAACCCAGGTCTTCAGTGTGAGAGGCAAACGCTTTAACCGCAAGGCCACCCCACCACCCTCCAGGAAGCTAGAGACCTGGCAGATTTATACTGTGCTGTCTAAGTGACACAATGAACCAAATAACACCTTATGATCACTGTAGCCTTATATTCTTACAAGGGGAACAGAGGGCAACTCAATGGTTAAAGACATTTCTCATAATGCCAAAGGCCTGGATTCAATTCCCCAAAATTTGTTAACTCCATTCCTGGGTGTACCCCAACATATTATTCCTGGAATCATGTGTAAGTATGGTTTTACATGCCTTTTAGCAATATTACAGCAATATCATGGTGAGGGACACCAGAAATAGGCTCCCCTATGAACTGAACCTGGTCTTTGGTGTGGCAAGCAAACACTTTAACCATTAGGCTAACCCACCACCGCTCCTCGAAACGGGATAAATGTACATAAAACTATACTCACTCACTCTAATATTTATCAACAATACTTCAGTGGTGTGCATTCCATTGTCTATGAATACATATGCATAGGCCGATCCAGAGGGGGGGTGCAGGGGTGTGCACCCCCCCTTTTGTGCTGAAGGTTTGTTAAATGACCATTGAAGCTGGGGTGAAAATGAAGTGTGCACCCCTCCTTTTCTCAATAGTGTGCAGCCCCCCTTTCTCAAAAAGCTGTATCCGCCCCTGCATATGGTTGATATTTGTGGTATACCATATGTAATCATCCAGTTAAACCACTTCTTTAAGAATCCTACATGGTTGTATCTTTCAACAAAATCATAAAGGTCTGAGACGAGTGTCAATTTTACCTTTCCTTCAAAAATGAGCTGACTTGCTGCAAAATGATGTTAATACTGTATGAAGCAATGTTAAATCCAAGTCACCCCTGAGAGACCAAAATTATAACTGTTGTGTATACTCACCTCTCAACAATGAGCATTTTGTTGGTGGAGTGATCACAAAGGTAGTCCGCTTCTTCCATTTTTCAATATGGCTGACACGTTACACAAACACACTCACTCACTAAACACACCATGCAGGGGAAGGTTCTCTGTTCCTAGGTTGATAACCATAACACTAGAAAATTAAAATTTTCAAGAGATCCTATTCAACTTAAATGCAAAGTCTGTGTTAGAGTTTTTTCTAAAACCAATTTCGACACACACTCACTACCACTCAATGATATTATAGATACCTATTTCTCAGTTTGTACAGACACTGATCTAACCATCCAAACATTCATACTTTTACAATATAATGTATATTTGAAAACTACAAACAGAAAAATTGAAAATAATAATGAAAAATAATTAAATTATTTTTTTTAATAATTTTATTTTTTTTTAAAAATAATTACATGTAAAATGAAACAGAACCCTATGAATAAAACTGATCTATATAACACTTGATTCATCAAAGAATTATTTAAAAAATCATACCACACCAAATTTTCACTTAGCAACTAAACAAAATTATGCCATTGACAAATACAGAAAGCAATCAAATAAAACTTGATTTATCCAGAAATTATAGAAATAAAATATTCATAAACCACCTTTTCACTTACATACAAAACAAATCAGTCACATTAATACCAAAACTGATTCAAGTGAGATTTGATTTATCCACAAATTATTGAAACAAAATATTCACAAACTTTTCACGTACATACCACACAAATCAGGTGATTGAATAAGATGTCACAATAACCACTGAAAGCTAGCACCTCTTCAATGATCACACACACGGAGGGAGAACCTGTCGACAATGTATGCAAACCATGAACACAATTCCATTGCTTGGGAGATAATACCCTGACACCTTCCTTTCAATATGCAAATAACTGGCCTAGGTTTCCCAACACGAACGTGAGATCTGTCTACATTAACAACGCTCAAGAGCTTGACAAAGATAAATCTCCCCTAGCCCAGATGCATGGCAGCGGAATAAAACACTGAAAATATACCCGTACACTTACACGTGTCCCAGTTTGATTAAAATTATCTCTGTTATACAGTCAGGTATAAACACAGGTAAAAGTTAACTCATGAAATAAAAACTTGCTTTCATAAACCAGTCATGTTTATCTTGAGAGTGATTGATTTAGTCAGTGGCACTGGTTGTGCTAGTTTTTTAATCCACGTACATACTTGTACCGGTATTTGTTTTTTCATGAAGATTGTTTTTCTTTGATGAGTGTGCAGTCATGGTAATCCAGGGAACTCTTGATTTGAATTATAAGGGACAGATCACTTGATATCCCAGGAGTAGGGGTGAGTTAAAAGGATCTAGAAGTATATAAGGTTTGGGGACAGATGTGGGTACAGTGGGGTAAGGGGTAAAGGTAGGTGGTGGCTTTGAGTGAGTGAGTTTAGTTTTATACAGCACTCAGCAATATTCCAGCTATATGGCAGCGGTCTGTAAATAATCGAGTCTGGACCAGACAATCCAGTGATCAACAGCAAGAGCATCGATCAACACAATTGGGAACCGATGACATGTGTCAACCAAGTCAGCGAGCCTGACCACCCGATCCCGAGGTGGTGGCTTTGAATTGTAGAGACAAAATATAGTTCTGTCACTGCTTCAAGAAATGCAATTTAGTTCCTCTGAACGGAGAAGCCATACTAGCCTTTTACACTTTCTTTTTTCAGTTCATAATCTCCATAAAACTATTACATTTTTTTTGTAACATCTGAGACAAAAATGTTAGGCCTACCCCTCTTATAAGGACAAACATTATTTTGTTCAACCAATTCTAGAATAACAATTTTATCTTATTTTGTGGCTGACAGATTAATATGGAGTTCATTACAGCGTGCATAATTTCCAGGGTCCTGATCCACAAAGTGTTCGTAGCGCTACGACATTCGTAAGCCTATGGTAAACTATAGAGTTACGACATGTCATAACGTTACGAACGCTCTGTGGATCGGGACCCTGGATTCTATCTCACCAGAATTTCCCTAAAATGAGTTACAGATTTTCTGCAGAAATATGCAGAGGGAGAGAAGGCAAGAAAAACCCACCATATGTTAAGGGTTGATCTGATGTGAGTTTGGAAAGAAAATATCAAAAATACAAATAAAAAAAGTTCAAGAATATTTTCTAAATCAGTACAACAGCTTTTTATATATATGGAAGTTTCTGGAAGGTACTTCCAAAGATAAAATAATAAATTGGTTAGACTTTAAACATACATTTTGTACACAGCCTTCTGCAATATCTCAGGTTAGTAGTGACAGGCCATTAAACATTCTTTAGAATTACACGGCCGAGAAATCCTATCCAATAAAAAGACAATATTACAAAAAATGAAATTCTGTGAGTACATACTGAGTCAGAAGGAGTGACCTGTATGAGGTGAATGAGTCCCTGTGTCCACATTATGCATTTTCATCTGATCTCTCTATATCTACCTACGTTTATTGATTTGACAAGTTCTATGAACTCTCGCTGATCCACCCAGATATATAAAATATAAAGTAAGGCAACACCTTTTTATTTTTGGGTTTACAGACTGGACTAGTTCTGTACCATGACTATGTAATCTGTGATTTAAAGTGACTTAGTGAGTATGGTTTTACGCCACTTTTAGCAATATTACAGCAATATCATGGTGGGGGACACCAGAAATGGGCTTCACACATTCTACCCATGGGGAATCGAACCTGGGTCTTCAGTGTGATCAGCGAACTCTTCAACCACTGGGCTACCCCATCTCCCCTCAAACGAGAGATTTTGGAGGTAAAGATAGGTTTTATTGACATTGGTATATCTCAGTTTAGGATTTGACCAAAAGCAGCATTTAGAGACAAACTTTACTATAGTTTACTTTGCTTCACACTCTATCTTACGAGATTGGAAAAGTAGAAATTATGACTTTAAACATAATACAAAATAATAAAGGTTTTAATTCATTATTAATCAAATCATTATATATTGCATGTTAGTTATTTAATGACTATTGAACTAAATATACACATATATGTCTGTAAATACATCCTGTACTATACAGACTGAGACATCCCAAACTGGCGTCCACTTAACAAATCATTTGGGTGAGATCAACAAATATTGCTACAATGAATTGAAGCAATGCAGACCATTGTGACATCAACAGTTACCACGTCACAATCAAATGACATCACTAATCTCACTGCCACTGAAGTTCCTCTTACATTAAAAACACTGGTTAATGCTATAAAATTCTTTTTAATAAAAATGAAAATGTTATAAATTTTTACCGACTCCTGTTGCTATATCTGATACTGAAAGTCTCTATTTATCATCCAGCATAGTTCCTGCAGTGTTTTCAAATAGCCAAATGCTCTCTAAATACTTGCTGGCATAATACAATTTTTATTTGTAAAATCTTACCTTCAAGATATTGAAACATATTCAAGTCATAATCTCTAGCAGAAAATTCCTGCAGTGTTTTCAAGTAGCCAAATGCTCTCTAAATACTTGCTGGCATAATACAATATTTATTTGTAAAATCTTACCTTCATGATATTAAAACATATTCAAGTCATGATCTCTCTCAAAATTCTTGCTATGTAAAATCTTACCTTCTTTTTGGGGTGGGCAGGGTGTTCAAGTAGGGTACAATTTTATTTGTAAAATCTTACCTTCATGGGTGAAACATATTCAAGTTGTTTTTGTTTTTTTGTGTGTGACAGGGTAGTCAAGTGGTTAAATGTTTTGCCCGAACCTGGTTTAAGTCCCCACATACGTGCTGTGTGTGAAGCCTATTTCTGCTGTACCCCACCCTTAAATTGCTTGAATATGGCTCCTCATCACTCACTAACCTATTTCCAAATGATCTGACCAACCCAAATAATTTAATACCAAATGAAATATTCACCTTTACCAATTAGCCTGGTATCAATAACACTGTAAACCATTACATTAAAAAGGCATCGCCTAAGCCGAATATTTGCACAGACAGATTAGAAAGACCATGCCATAGAGTCCCTGTGACAACCATATTATGACCCTCCCTTTAGAAGGCTGTAGAAAGTGATAAACAAGCATTTAAACGTGTTTGTTGTGGGGAATATTGGTTACAAAGTCTTCTGAAGATTGTGTACATGATAAACTTGATATTAAACTGTCTGTGATATGCTCTCAGTAAATTATCACAGACATAGTTCCCACAAGACAAATCACTGTTCACTTTCTTTATTGAATACTGAACGGTGTTGGTCAAACAAGTCTGGACGTCAATCAAGATAATAGTCAAATACATTCCAATACTCAATCAATAATACAAACTAGGGTTGTCAGTGTAATCATAGAAACAGATATATGTGACATTTGTTTAGGCACAAATGGCAACAATTTAGGAAAATACACATTTTCAAAAACATTTGCCCTACACCACAAAACAGATCAGTTGTAAGCACTGAGTCTGAATCACAATTTCCATTAAAAGAATTCTTATTAGCAAGTTTATGAATTGATAATTTCATGAAAGCTGACTTCAATTTAAAACAAGTCATGTTTTTGTTCAGAATATCAAAGAATGCAAAATAGAAAAATAATGCAAAGGTCTTTATGTTTGTCATTTGGAGGATAGATGTTTCTCTCAAAATCTGGTTTTGAAATAAAGATTAAAACATAAAGGACTCTGCAGTCAATTTGTTTGTTTTGGTAATAAGAGCACTTCAAATAATTCTTGTGGAGGATTCTTTGTGGAGAAACTGCCTCCACCCAGGAATATGGGTGGTGTGATTGGCTGGTTGCTTCATACCAAAACATGTTTGTGGTGGTACATGTTAAGGACTAGTCATCACAAAGTCAGTATATTGTGTCTGTGTGGGTGTCAGTGTTTAACTGTAAGTTTCTCAGCAGACTATAGTCTGTTTGCAGTGAAAACGTACCGATGAATATCACTTTAAACAAAAAAGTAAATCAAATTAAGTGAAATTAAGATTGCGAATCCTCAAAGTTTACCTTGCCAAATGAACATTTAAATCTCATATTTTTATTCAACTTAGGGTGAAAGTTGTTTAACAAACGATCATAGATTCAAATCGCTATTA